GGCGGCTCGATGCAAGAGGAGGAGAGGGGAGGCGGCGGCGGCGGGATTTATACGGGGAGGGCGAGGCAATGGCGTGGGCGAGGGGCAAGGAGGAGGCCGGGGCGACCACGGCGGCCATGGTGGTGCGGCGGCGTGCCCGAGCGGGACTCCCGCTCGGGAAGGAGAGGAGCGGCGCACTGGGCTGGGCTTGGCCTGTTGGGCCGCCCAGTTCGGCGGGAAGTTTTTTTTTAATAAACATATTTTTTCAGAGAACTAAAATAATAAAAACAAAAAAAAATAACTAAAATATTATATAGGCATGTTATATATCAAAATTTTCAGAAAAAGATTTTCTACACGGTGAACATTTTTCTTGTATTTAATAAAATACACATAAATTCTAATAATTCAAACAGTGCTACTGGTCTATTAAAATCCAACAAAAATCATTTAAAAAAACAAAATGATTCCAAATTAATTTTTCTCCAATTTTCTATTGTAGGGAATCATGTTACCCTATTTTCCATGTATTTTACTTTTGGAGAAAAATAATTTGAATAAAACTCAAATAACTCCAAATTGAAAATGAATTCAAAAGACTTTGAATTTGATCCTTTGAAACTCCCAACTCATATTTCATATAATTTGAAGAAGTCATTTTATCTTCGCTCGTGAAAATCATTGAGTTGCATAAAGTTTCAGAATTGGAAATATTCTCAAATGAAATTCAAATATTTTCAACACCCCTTGTCATTTCAATAAATGGAAGAAGACATGTCATCTTCTCTCCAGGGTTTCGTGGTGAAAAGAATTTGAATTCACAGAGAACACGAATGAAAAATGAAAGTTTGGGAAAGTCCTTTTATTCCCTCTCATTTAACTTTCAAAAAGTTCGAATTCACTCACTTTCAGTCAATCAATCAAACAATCAATCAAGTCTATTTATTTAATATAAGATTCCAAAATTTAGAATTTTGGGATGTTACATTTAATAAGGTTCAAATGGAAGATCAAGGAATATGTTTCAGGTGACGGTTGTCTCGGAGATGCTGCAAGAAAGATCAATGCAAATCACAAAAATCGGTAGATCCCAGAATAAGGCTGCACATGCTATGGCAGCGATGGGTCGTGGTCAACAGTGTACAGCTTATTGGTTAGAAAATTCCCCCCAGGAGATTAGCATTGTCATTTCAAACGATTGAACTCCCACTGCTGATTATATGAAATGATATGATTTCCCCTGCAAAAAAAGACCGCTGACAAATTTTTTCCGGCTTAACAGATGGTCACGACAAATTTTTTTAGTCATGGATTGATACTATCGTTTATTACTTTTGTACCGTCCAAATTGTCAAGAAGTATGACGATAAGGTTTAAAAAATTAGGTAATTCTTCTTCCTTAGTGGCTGGCATGCACGCATATTTAGCTTGTCAAGAATAACAAAGCCAACTAGAATTATAGATTTACCAAAAAAATACTTCAGAGCATATAATAACTATAGATCGAGGAAGAGGTATTATGTAATTCAGTGGCTGTGAATATTCTTCAAACATAAAGGGAGCAATACTAGCTTCAATTTCATTTTAAGGATTATAAGAATTTTTGCCAATTTATTTCGTACTTAGTTGTTTGAAACCACCTTGATTTGATATTTACCATTATGGGAAATGGCCAACACAATGATTTTTTACATTAGGCCAGGTAAAACCGGGCTCAGCTCCTAGCACACAACCAATAGATATGCCCAGTAGAGTCCATATTCATGCATGATGGCTGCCATGATGATTTTGTACAATGTATAATATGCATCTTTTGTGGAGTTCCTTCGTGGGGCCTTATGATTGATTTCTAGACATACTTGATTGAGTTTTGTCGGCACGCCCATCAAAAGGATGCTAGATCCACCTACCGGCCGATCCACTTGACCATCGAGCCTAGTAAGCAAGTAACACGTGTAATCTCAACCTGTAAATCTAATGGGACCTTCGTGGCGTCAAATTCTTAAGCCTCACACAATGGGAGATTGAGTGATGTATATTGCAGTACAATCGCACAATAATTAGTAAATAAAGGTCATATCGGTATCATCCTCTATTATTTTTTTCATGGCACATAGATCCATACAAACTGGAAAAAATAGACCCTTTAAATAGTTTTTCATTGAGATTTTAGAAATAAATAAATATGATGATACTAGGATATTAGTTTGTATTGTTATGCATTATGGTGTTAGTATCGTAAAGTAGTATCCTATAAATTATATTACCGCATGATTTTTTTATGCTATGACACCTTATCAAGTACTATACCTATATGGCAGCAAAATATGAGTTGCAAATAGACATATTTATATGATGATATCTAACTAATACTGGTACAGATGTCTTGTAATCAAATTTTAATGTAGGCTTAAACAAAATACGTAAACATCGCTTAGAAAGTCCTACTTTGATTCCATTGGCGTTCTATGCAGAAGAGCCATAAGAGAGGCCACTTACCACTTTTTTCTCGGCTTAACAGTTGGTCACACGAAATTTTAGTCATGCATTGAGAACATGGTTTATTCCTTTTGTACCATCCAAATTATAACCAGGTTGAACAATAAAGTTTAAAATATTAGGTATTTTTTCTTCCATAGTGGCTCGCATGCACATGTATTTAGCATGTCAACAATAATGAAGCCAACTAGAATTATAGATTTACCAAAAATTACTTCAGAGCATATAAGAACCGTTGATCGAGAAAGAGATATTAGGTAGTTCAATGGTCGTGAATATTCTTCGAATTTAAAGGGAGCGATACTATCTTCAATTTCATTTTAAGGATTGTAGAAAATTTCTCCATTTTATTTCTAACATAGTTGTTCCAAACTACCTGCTTGGATATTTACCATTATCGGCAATGGACAACACATTGTTTTTTACTCTAGGCCAAGAAAAAGACCATGCTCAGGTCGTAGCATGCAACTGACAGATATGCCCAGTAGAGCCCATATGATGGCTTGATGGCAGCCCTGATGATTTCGTAAAATTTATTATATGTATCTTTTGTGGTCCTTTTTCATGGGGCCATAGAGACAAGTTAGAACTTTGATGCAAATTGTTCAATCTTATTTGAGCTTGTTAAACTTTTGTAATCCTCTAGAATGCATTGCCATGATTTCTACAAAAAGCAAAAATAGAATAAATAAGTTCTCTGAAACTTGATGGTTCTCACACTTTAGAATTTTCTTAAATAAACAGTAATGAAGTGGCGCGACCCCATAGTGTTGGAAATAATAGGCTTGATAGTTGTTGATTTTTCGAAGTTTCCATATTATATGCCAAACATTTTCCTTGTGAATCAAATTATGATATCGCATTATGCATGACACCACTGTGGCGTTCCATCGGGTGCCACTAATTTCGCTGGCCAACGAACGATCCTAATGGAGGAAACTCCTGGATTCCGGCTATGAGTTGATTAAACATTTGTAACAGAAATGTTATGATGGGCAAGAGTTTTGGCTATCTTATGGGCTCGCGTTGCAAGCAAAAGATGGAACACTTCTCTGGCTAATAGGAGAGATCGTGATACCGAAAAGGGAAAATTTGGTAATGGTTACGATTGTCCTTCTTAGCCTACACAGTCCGATGGACATATACCACCTTTTTGGCCCACTATCCATACTAAGAGATAGAGTTTCTGAGATATCAATAACTAAAGTTTGCACTAGTGAGACTTGAGTAGATGGAATGAGTGGGTAGCATCACAAAAACTTTATTTCTATTTGCGTTTGACATCTTTTGGTGCGCAGTTTTTACCTTACAAAAACAAAAGTTAAAAAACATAATAAGTGCAATAAGAGGATCACAAGTCTTTTTCAAGCTAGATTAACTTTTGACATGGGGCATAGAAGTTTTTGATGAATCTCTAGAGGTTGGAATATATATAACTGAGCTTGTGTTGCCTTGTATAAATATGAGCTATCTTATTTTGAGCTTGCAGGAACAATAAGGATACAGGGCATTGATTGTAAGCTAGACGATGGCATATTATTATTATTATTATTATTATTATTATTATTATTATTATTATCAACTATGTTACTCGAGGACGAGCAAGTTTTTAGCATGTGGGTGTTGATGAGTGGACTTTATATAGTGTTTCGAGCCTACTTTTTCAATATAAAATTCCTCATCACTTGTTTCCATTCATTTCCTTGTGAGGTTTGCACAACTAGAAGTTTTTGTAGGATTTGTTTTGTTTTCCTTGCCTCTGTTCTGTGCGTAGGTATTCCGGATATTTAGGAACAAAGCGCGGTGAAAGGAGCCAAGAGGTAGCAATATGGAGATGTTACATGCATGCACCAGGACTTAGCAATACTGAAGGGTGGAAAAGTGATATTTTCCATCACAGGTTAATAAAGATCCAAAACCATGGGGTAGTAGTCCTCTTCCATACGAATCCAGCGAGCCGAAGAACACCTCGATAGGAGTTCATATGAGGAAATGGCGCCCAAAATACTAAAGGTGTCCACAGACTTTAACGACGATTACTAGGACGGTCATGACGAACGTACCGAATGACTGTACCATCCTCCGTTCCGTGCATAAAGGCAAACTGAATCCCTTTTGTGAAGGCCCGATGGACATATTCGGTGCGGAGCTTTCCAGAAACATGAAACCGACCTAGCTGCCTGATGGCATCGATCTACGTGGACACCAACTCGTTGTGATTCCAAGTGCAGAGTGATGTAGCAATCGTGTTTTCCCCACAAGGGTGACTCGAGAGTTTTTATCGAACTTTCGGGGAAATCCTTGAATGGCCTTCTCTTTCCTCTTTAAGCAACCTACAGAGCAAGAAAACATGTCTTATGTTCCCAACTCCACCAAGTGGTTTTCAAGCACAAGGTTTCCTGAATAGCATTGAAAACAAACAAATAAAATAAAATAAATTTGGGCTTCTGGTTGTTTTTATCGTGTTATCATCGCTGTACTGAGAGTTTGCGTGCTATTACAAGTTCAGGCTTCTGGTTGGCTATATTGTATTACACGGGTGCCCCATTAAAAGTTATATTTTAGGGAAGTACTCTGCGCCGGTCGACCGGCCGAACGCCTAGCCGCCGGTCCTGTGTGAGCCGTCCGATTCTGATGCTTGCAACCGTTTGATGGAGCACGTCTCTCCCATGCACGACTATTTAATGTGTGTACGTATTTTGATTTGTAGCAGCGGTGGCGCGCGTTTCCCGCAGGGCTTGTAGCTAACCATCATTGGCTCACCGCGTCACTCCTCCTCTCAGGGCATCACCGGCCGTCGACACCGGCCGCCCGTGCAGCTCGCCGTGGGGATGTTTGTAGCATCGTCGTCTGCCCGTGGGGATGTTCATCGCAGAGTCCGTCGAATCAACGCCGAACCCTGACACACGAGGCGAAATACATCGAAGCACCATCGGCCTATCGTCGTTCGCCGCACTCACAAAGCTGCTGGTGGTCGGAGTACCGTCGCTGTTGATGCCTCCGCACGTGGTGGTCGCCATCGCAGCACCGAGTCATCGCCGTCCTAGCGCGCCGATCACTGCACCCTATGCACCATCGCACGGCTCCGGCGCCGATCACCATTGCACCCTATGCAACCAGCACCGAAAAATGCTACAACCGACGACCAAAAAAGCTACGAGGGCTGTCGTTTTTTGCTACAACCAGTGAAATTTATGGCTGTGACCAGCGCGCAGAAGAGCTGCAACCAGCAACGAAAAATGCTACAACCGGCTACAACTTAGGTTGGCGGCACTTCTTGACGAGAGAATCACGGCTTGCGGTCTCGTCGTAGAAGTCGCCCACGGCCTTGACGCGCCAGCCTTGCTAGTGTTTTTGACAGGATGCACAAGATAACTAATTAAATCGGCCGATTGTTGTACTCCCTCCATTTCAAAATATAGTGCGCCCATACTTTCCGAGGTCGAACTTTGACCATAAATTTAACGAATGAGACCGACTGCGGCGGGAGAAAAAGTTACATAACTAAAAACTTCTTTCAAATACGAATTCACTGCTATAACTTTTGCTCCCGCCGCAATCAGTCTTGATAGTTAAATTTACAGTCAAAGTTGAAGCACGTGGATAGAGAAAGCACTACATTGTGGAATGGAGGGAGTAGTATATAAGCAAAATCCACGCAGGTATACAACAAAAACAAGTGAATCGATTGCAGATCTTCCAAAGAGAGACATATCACATATGCTAGGACCTATACACATCAGAAATTATTTAATCTATGCTACGACTATCACATATGACGAACTGCAGCAAATAGATTGATGCGCGTATACACGAATACGCAGCCTCGGCGGACATCTCTAGCCGGATCTGGGACAAACTGGGAAAACGCGGTCATGTTTACGGCAGTGAGGTCATCTTTTACAAGAACAGTTCTATGTTTAGTGAAAGTTAAACTTAAGGTTTAATATATATGTATGAAAAAAATACCAAGATTATAAAATAAATATTATTATAATTAAACACATTCAGCTGCGCATCAAAGGTGCCTTCTCGCGATGTCCACGTCGCACAAGGAGACGAGCGATTCACGACCTGCTCGTTTTCTGTGGGGCTCGTGCTGGGCTTTCATTGGGAAGAATAACAAAAGGGGGAAAAAAGACACCGCACACGTCACTAAGGGGATTGGGTAGCGACTCTTCCTCTCGTCTCGCCTCCCAGCTATTCATTCTTCATCGGCGGCGGTTGTTGTTCTGGTGCGCTGGTCCTATAGGGCCTTAGTACAATGACTTCCCGACTGTCTAATACAATAAGTTGTGCCTGACTCCAGCGATGGAGGGGCAATGATGGCAGCGCGCCTTCAGCTTGGTTCGGTGCTTGTAGTCATCGCTAGGTGGTCTACAGATCCGGATGTAATTTTTATAGTGTTCGTTGTATTGTCATGATTGAAACTGAATAGATCGGAAGTTTTCCGAAAAAAATCACCATAAATATAATGTAGTAGTATTGTTTGCATTTCTTACTATGGTGGTTAAAAGTTTGCTTATAAATTTGGACAATTTTTCTCGGTCTCTGATTTTGATCAAACCTAGAACACAATTTAATAAAAACGAAGAGAGTACTCTCTCCATTTTTATTTACTCTGCATATTAGATTTGACTGAAGTCAGACATCGTAAAGTTTAACCAAGTTTATAGAAAATAATATAAAAATTTACCATATCAAATCTTCATGATGTGAAAGTACATTGAACAATGAATCTAATGGTATTGATTTTTTATTGTATATGTTAAATTTTTTTATAAACTTTGTCAAAGTTTGCAAAGTTTGACCTTAACTAAAGCTAATATGCGGACTAAATAAAAACAGAGATAGTACTAAGGTAGTAGTGAAGGATTCTCTTCTTCCATCACATGCAACCATGCACACAAGGAGAATGTCGCTCCCGAACGGGAAGCGAAGGGGTTTGAGTTACGGTTGTGTAACTTGTGAGGAATTGCACATGCAGATCTGGGCTAGACTTTCATACAAAAAAACACATTTATTGATAAATACGATTTAAACAAAGTGGGTGGCTCTGTCGAAGGTGAGTTAATGTCGATGGGTTGTATTCGACGGAGTACACAACTACATCATGTGCTATATGAGCAGTGGCGGTGCCAAGAAATTAATATTATAGGGGGGGCAAATGACCCAAAATTTTGATTGCAGTGGCCAAACTACACTGATGCATGTATTTTTTTTCTATTTTTTGCACTGTTCATCTCTAAATAGTAGCAAATCAGGGATGTTAAGGGGGGGCAGGGCCCCTGCTGGTCCCCCTGTCTCCGCCACTGTATATGAGTTAATGTCGATGGGTTGTGTACTGAAGTGCCACGCCGGTAGTAGCTAATTATCGCTGGCGTTCATATTTTCTCCACACCGCGGAAATCGACACTGGTGTGGCAATTGTTAGATGCACCACCAGTGAAGTGACTAAAGTAAGCCTATTCCTACTAGTGTACAAACTATAGGTTGGACGCGACTTACTAGTAGGGTGCACTTTTTACGGAACGCTACTATTCCCAAAAGGAGCACGACACTAGTAAGTCGCGGTCAGGACCGTGTCTGGGCCCCACGTATGCGCGAGAGGGGAGGAAACTCAGAACTAGACGGTGGACTGCAAGTTGATGATTAAAAATGTGAGGCTTTTTTTGCAAAATGGCACTCATGATAGTTGTATATATATAGTCGCCAAAAAGGATGATCGCCACCTAGCACAGCTCCGTGACCAAAGTTGAGAGACAATGGATGAGCTCACCATCCTCTTGTGCATCGCGCTCTCCATTCCTCTCATCATCTTCTTTATGCTCAAACGTCATGGCGGGCGCCAGAAACTCCCACCTGGTCCGCCAGCCCTGCTGTTCATAGCCAAGTTGTTGTTGATGCTTAAGAGCCCGATCTACCATTTGGGCCCTGTGCTACGCAGCTTGCATGCCCGCTACGGCCCCATCGTCTCCGTCTGTCTCGGGCGAACCTTCGTTTTCGTGGCCGACCGCCACCTCACGCATAGCGCCCTCGTCAAGGGCGGCGGCAACTTCGACACCCGCCCACCGCCCAGCAAGCTTTTTACCCTGTTTTTAGGGGGCTCCATGTCCGCCTCTCCCCTTGGGCCCTATTTTCGTCTGGTCCGCCGCAACCTGCACTCCCAGGCGCTGCACCCGTCCCGCGTCAGGCTCTTGGCGCCGGTCAGGCAGCGCGTGTGCGACGCGCTCGTTGGCTCGCTGCGCCCCGATCGCGATGCAGCGTCCCAGGGCACTGTTACGGTGAGGCCGTTGATGGCGCGCTGTTTGTTCGATCTGCTCACGAGCATGACATTCGGCGTCACGCTTGGCCAAGAGGCGCTGGACGAGATGCAACAGATGCAGCTCCAGATTTCCGACGGCATCAGCAGGTTCCCCGTCTCATAGTTGCCATGTTTCCGGTACGGTGGGAACGAGGAACGGGAACGAGGGACGAGAGTCGGTGATTGAAAAAAATAGGGTACAACGAGGGTATACATCTCTCGAACGATTTTTTTTTATAGCAGGGACGCGATCCAATTCGTTTGGGTACGATGAACCCGGTACGGTACCATGGGTCGAGGAACGCGGTTCCTGAAGAACGACGACTCCTTGACGGTCAGCATTCCTTGCTGTTAATGGATCACTTGTAATTAATGGACTGGAGGAAGAAAGAGGAGTCCTTGAGAAAAGGAACGACAGCGTGAGTAAATTATGCCTCGTGTTTTGGCTGTTGGATTCTCGAACCTGAATCGAGGAGCAGGCTGTGGAGACGCCGAATCTTCATTGAATCGTACTGAATCCGACCTCGTTCCCGAATCCGATTCCGGGACAATGAATCGGGATCGAGGGACGGCCTACCGTTCCCTGTTTCCGGCTACTATGCCCCGTCTTATCCATCTTCCAGCCCATCACCAAGAGGCTACTGCGGAAGGAGTGGGCGCTGAACGTGGCGCTACGGGATAGGCAGAAGGGGCTGATGCTGCCGCTGATCCACGCGCGCCGCGGCCACGATGGCGCTCAATGCTACGCCGACTCCCTCCTCGAGCTGCGTGTGGCAGAAGAAGGCGGTCGCCCGCTCACGGACGACGAGATGGTAAGCCTCTGCTCCGAGTTCATGATTGCCTCAACCGACACTTCGGTGGCCTTGCTGGAGTGGATCATGGCGGACCTCGTAAACCACCCCGACGTCCAAGCCAAGTTGTACGAGGAGGTGAGGGGCAAGCCTGAGCTCAGCGAGGAGGAGCTGAGCGGGATGCCATACCTCAAAGCCATCGTGCTGGAGGCGCTGCGGCTGCACCCTACGGCACACTTAGTCTTCCCGCACGGCGTGCAGAGCGACACAGAGATTGGTGGATACATGGTGCCCAAGGGCGTCGACATCAACTTCTTGGTGTCCGACTTTGGGCTTGACGAGACCGTGTGGCCGGCGGCGCGGGAGTTCCGGCCTGAGCGGTTCTTGCACGACCACGGCGTGGACATCACGTGTACCAAGGAGATCAAGATGGCCCCTTTTGGTGCCGGTCGAAGGATGTGCCCGGGCTACGTGCTCGCCACACTGCATGCGGAGTACTTCGTGGGCAGCCTCGTGAGGGAGTTCCAATGGCTGCCGCCAGGTGGACAAGACACTGTCGACATGACGGAGGAGCTAGCTATGGCCATCAACATGAAGCACCCGCTCCGTGCTCGCATCATCCCAAGGGCTTAATTATTGGATACTCGATTAGGACGACATGATAATAAGAAACCACCTCCTAGTCCTCTTAATTTCGTCGCATCATGTGTTTTTTTTGTCTATGTTTCAGTATACTGTAGCGTTTCAGCCTGTGTATGGCAACAGTCTGAAACTCGTCAGGTTAGATTTGGTCAATTCTGTTTGGGTAAGTTATTACTTGTCCTAGTCGTTGCCTGTAACGCTAGGACCGAGTCCATTGGCTCCACGTTCTGCCGGATCATGGGGATCGAGCACATTTGCTTGTAATAATAAATAAAAGAATAAAAGGGGAGAAAGAAACCAGAAAAGCTGTGACGATTTAAGCAGCACCAAAACCCTTGTGTTAATCTCTGAATTCCCATTCTTGTTCGTCTTCCACCTCACGCGAGTTAAGAGAGATCATGTCAAATACTGTACGTATTAGTGTAGTGCATGGCACATCACTGTGATATAAGCACGATGCAGATGTATCTGATCTAGAGGAGCAGTGTGCAGTACCATCCATGTTAAGTTTGCGGGTCACTTGGGAGCTCTTGATCCCTGACAGAACTTTTAATCCCGTTAAGTTTGAGGGCCACAAGCGGCAAGCTGACGAGCGGCCGCGGGCGAAATGCATATCACCTGATAAATCGTAAAGCGCCTAAGGTTCAAGCGGCTCGATCCCAACTTCATGCTGCCATCCATGTTGGGGGGAAAATATCTCTTGCCGTGTCCTCTTCCACCGCTGTTTGCATGGCCACACATCGCATTACACGCACGCATCGCCTTTCGTCAACCGAGTTCGAGTTAAAAAACTTGTATTGCGGATGACTAAAAAAAAACTCTACGGCGGCCGCCTTGCTCGTTCCAGTGGCTTCCGCGTCGTCGTCATCCACCGAGTGGAAAGACAGTACCTCCAGCCACCGCGTTTGAGGATGGTGCCGGCGTCAAAGGACGATGTTTCTTCGAGATTCCAACCTCTGGACCTGCTTCGCCGACCCTGCCTCCCTGACTGCTTTGATGGCCTCTCGATCTTGCCTGCCCTTAAAAAGCTATAAGTTCCCAAGTAATAAATCATAGGTGTGATGACATAATGATAAGATATGACACGGGATGGATGATTTAATTACGCACAAGCCTCGCACAATTAGTGAATCGCATTAACGAGAAAATTGTTAGTCACCCATACTTTACATTTGGTTTAGAATTGGTAAAAGTGTGCATCTTCTGTTGGTGTTTGTGGACACAAGATATAAGGTAGCGAAAGAGTAAATCCTGCGATATCTCCGTTCATATGCATGCACACCATGATGCATAAATTTAACATATTTATCATTCTAGAAATCAAGATCAACAAGACTCCTTTCAAACATGACTTTCTGATATATGCTACCCTAGTCCAGGATGAATTGTTTTATCCTAACCAGCAAAAAAAGAGAACTGATTTATCCTATACTAGATGGTTTCCCCTCTGACTATGATGAGAAAAACCAATGGACTGTTTATATATCTAAATACTTGTCTGGTCTATGATGTGAACTTTTAAACTTTTTTGCCGCCGCAACTAATATGCTCATTTGCTTCTGAGTTCTGACCATAGTGAACCATACAGAACCGGAAACAAGTCGAAGGTGCCATCTGAGAATTACAATCTCAAATTTAAATAGACAAGACGATAGTTTAAGAAAACAGTATTTTGTTTTACATACCCTGAGTATTTGCGGAAAATGCGAACAAAGGCTGTCCTGCATGCAGGCCAAAATCTCGGCCATTGAACCGCCATGGGGATCCGGGCTGCCAGAGTATAAGTCACGTACTGGATTTATGTTTGGCCCGTATTGAATCAGGAAGGCCCCACACACAAGCAAAAGCATCTAGGCCTCCGACGTCCACCTTACATGTATGAGACCTGTACATCACATGTGCATGCATGCCGTGGAGCAATGTTGGCCAACGGAGACCACCACTTGGTCAAGTGCAGACGTGGAGCATTGGCGGCCAGCAAACACGCAAGTTCATTCACAGTTAGCCTAGAGATGGTGCGGCCAAAGGTACGAAAACATATACTTGCATCAAACAATATCTTCCCCTAATCTCTACCTGATAATAATAATAATAATAATAATAATAATAATAATAATAATAATAATAATAATAATAATAATAATAATAATAGTAATGCAAACCAACCTGTGGTTGGATGGTTAGAGGGACAGTGGTATCCGCAGCCCACCAGGGTTCAAGTCTCAAAATGATATGCCGTTCATAGGGGTGAGTGTATGCGCGTATGTATGAGCGCTTGTGTCTGAACTGTGTTCAAAAAAAATTATAATCTTTCTCTAATTTTTAATAATAAAGCAATTAGTGCTTCTGGTTGTACGCCATATAATTTACTCTATAAGTTGACAAAAATTATCCATTAATGCCACCCATAAGTAAAAAAATGATTTGTTTTTTTCAAAGTCTCCGCCGCTCTAAGTTGTTTTATAGATATAAGATACCCAACAAATTTCACAAACATGCAAGTAGTGCACTGGCTGGAGCCGGTCACTTCCACTGCGTTCCTGGTCCTGTCAAGGGCGTGAGGCCCCTGTTTTTTTTTTCATTTAGTCTTTTCTCTTCTCTTTTCTTTTCTCATTTTTTTTGTTTTTTCTTCTTTAAATTAATTCAAGATTTACAAATTTCAAAATGTTACAAATTTTGAAAAACATGTTGGCACATTATAAAATGTTTGTGAATTCAAAAATGTGTGGGAAAGCATAAAAGTTCCGCAGTTTCAAAAAATATTATTGATTTTACAAAACTGTTCACAAATTATTAAAAATACAATTTGGAAAAATGTTGGGAAATAAAACCATGTTCATGATTTTGAAAAATGATCACGTATTCAAAACATATTCGTGAATCTGACAAAAATGTAATTTTAGAAAATATTCAAAAAGACTCGAAAAAGCAAGTTTGTGGTTGATGAGATTTGTTTTTAAAGTTTTTAAAGTGTGTCATACAGTACCAAGCTCATTGCCTTGGGATTACCATCTCGAATACACTGCAATCATGTGGACATCGTGTCTATCATCAGCGACGATTGGAAGAAAAGATAAGTGGCAACATGAATTTTCGAAGATATTTAAGTCAAACAAATGATTTCCTAATTTATCCGTATCTTTTAAACCGTAACTCCGATTTTAACATGTTATATAAGAAATTTGATTAGAAAAATATGTGGAATCTGAATATGATGTTAATTTTACCTGTTAAATATTTTTTCAATATTATTTTGGAAGCAAACTTATAAATTATAGCCATTTTTCTTTCATACCGCCGGCGATCCGGATTGCAAATAAACACTCCACTATAACCATACAGGGAAAAGAAAACATCGTTAACTACACATGCATACCTCTGGAAAAAACTCGCATGGGAAAACAACAGATTTCTCATCGCAAGTGATAGAAATTGAGAGAGAGAGGAAGAGGGAGGAGAGAAGGAGAAAGAGACGCCTTAGAATTGACCATATTCAAACACATTATGTTTTGTTTTATGTGAACACTGAGGCCATTACTGGCGAGGGTGAGAAGGAGGATAAGCAGCAACACAAATATGGTGCTCGCTAAAATAAAGGAGATGGACCTATCGTGGTCTTCAGTAATGGCTGTTGAATTAAGAGCATGTGTTATGTTTTTCCTTCCGTTGTAATACACGGGCTCTTTTACTAGTATAATAAATATAGCGATGCAAAAAAGCAATAATCATCTTTTGAGCCCAAGCTCATCTGCACCCACCCAAACAACAAATTTGGGATTTGTAAAAAAGTTCACTATTCATGCATTGTTCTGACCTGATTTGTCTTTTTTGGCGAGAGTTGTTCAGATGTCAAAGCGATTTGAAAATTGGAGTGGAGCTCACGCATCAAATTTTCTATCATGCGAATAATATGGAATTTTTTGAATTTTTGTGATTTTTTCTTACAAGGTGCCTGGGCACTGAATCACTGCACTCAAAAGCGATAATCATCTGCAAAAAGCAACTAAATCTTCCAATCTGAGAGAGAGGTGAATCTGGACAGAGTGGAGCAGCGTGGATCTCATGTCAAAGAGGACAGGTTAGGACGACGATTCGTCCTGCTACTGCTGGTGGCCAATGGTTGACGGAGCATGTGGTTCTCACCATTTATAGTTCACCCTTGGAAAGTACAAAGAAGAATAAAACCAGGCCTAAAGTGTATACTATTTCATGCCTTTACTCACAAACAATAAAGAGAAAAGAGCATCTCGAAGTCACAGAATAATCAAAATTAAATCACCACAAGTGTTCATTTGAAAGCAAACACAATGACAGAAGAGAGTAGGAGGGAAAGCAAGAATGGAGTGGCCTGAAATTGCACGCAAGATATTGAGAAGTGAAAAAAATACCATGTTGTTAAAGAATTATCATAACAGAGCAGTCTGGGACCTGGATGATTACCCAGTCGAAATCAACTTGATATTCAATTGTCTTGTCCTAATCAAATATTTGCACACGTGTACTTGGAGAAGCGTCGCTATTGTGCAAGCATGGCCATGACAACACAATAGACAGAGCTGAAAGAGCAACACAAAACATTTATGTTTATGAATTCATTGGTTCATATCTCATGGATCAATAAGATGGTGCTACAAAAGCAAGTTTTTTTCTCAGAAATTAGTAATGCCAATATTCTTCCACATAGCAGATTGTAGCTATAAAACTCTGAATAGGGCTATTAGGCTTAATTAGAAACCGTAGACAACTCCAAGCAACCAAATAACTAGGAAACATCAATCATTATTAAACATGAAGACCAAATTATATCATATAATCAAAAAATATTTCACTACCAGGTCCCCATGATGCAAAGGTATAAGGGCAGTACACTAATAAAAAAGGCTCAAAGACACATGAGGAAGGAAACACTCATAACACATTTCGATGCAATAAGAAAGAACATATGCAAGCTTTGTTCCTCTCAGGGTTATTTCCAATCTATTCATCTTCAA